TCAGATTCTGTGTCTCCCTCTCTCTCTGACCCTCCCCCGTTTGTCCTCTGTCTCTCTCTGAATCAAAAATAAAAAATAAGTGTTAAAAAAAAATTTTTTTTAATAAATAAATAAACTTAAAAAAAAATACATACAAAGCACAAATACTTCCTAGTGTAACATTTGGCAACTTAATGTTAGTATAATCAAACAAATAGTCAGGTAGAATAAATTCTGGACTTGTGAGCTTGATAAAAAAAAATTAGTCAATTTAAAGTTTTTTTCATCTCCAAAATGAAAACTACTATAAAATCTAGCACCTAGTATTCTCAAAAGACTGATGTGAAAATTAAGCGCAAACAATGCAAATTTAAAAAGCATCTAGCATGGGCGCCTGGGTGGCTCAGTCGGTTAAGCGTCTGACTTCGGCTCAGGTCATGATCTCACGGTCCGTGAGTTCGAGCCCCACGTCGGGCTCTGTGCTGACAGCTCAGAGCCTGGAGGCTGCTTCGGATTCTGTGTCTCCCTCTCTCTCTGACCCTCCCCTGTTCATGCTCTGTCTCTGTCTCAAAATAAATATTAAAAATCAAAAAATAAAAATAAAATAAGAAATAAAAATAAAAAGTATCTAGCAAAGCATAGGATACATAATAGAAGCCTACTGATTATCTTCCTTCTCCCCCATGGTGTCTCCAGGGAGTATGAAATACAGATAAATTCAAGAGTTGTCAGTGTCATATAGACACCTATAGCTCACAGAACTTTAGGCATTGAAAGGAACCCAAGGAAGAACTGCCTCTAACTTCTCAATCAAGAAGGTCATCCAAAAAGCAGGGCAGTAGTTATTTGATATTATTAGGTATTTTGCTGAACCTGCAACTTGCCTTTCCCCAGACCAAGTCTCCTTTAGCTAAAACATTCTGTTGCTATAGCCACAATTCATATCACATGATTGGCATCCTCCTAATCAATGTGCTCACCCTTCTAGTGACAGTTTCCACTATTTTAATATCCTTATGAAGAGGTGCCCCATTTTCCTTCCAACTCTTCTTGTATGAGGCAACCAAAAGGAGTCTTCCACTGTGGCACCTCTTTCATCTCCCTACACAATTAAGTCAAATTGTCTTCCATTATTTCAAAATTTATGGGATGACTCTGTGGTTCACTATAATCCCAGGTCTTTAATAACTGTATAAATTTCAATTCGATTCCTCTTCAGCTTCTGAATATCCAAAAAAAATAATTTTTATAGTCTCTTGTTATCAAAGTTACTGTTCTACATCAAAATTCTATTTAATTCAACAAATCGTCAAAAGGAGTATGCCTAGTAACAGTTTTTTAAAAATTACAGCTCTCCCACTAAATTTGTCACGATGAGATTTTTTTTATTTCTAAGACAATATGAGTTATTAGGACAAAGGAGAAGGCCCTATTTTAATGGAAAAGTCAAGATATTTGAGGATATAAGCTTTAACAATATAATCATTAAGTTTTGTTCATGAATGAGGTGTTACTTCTGTTTTCTCAAAGTGTTCCAATCCAAAGAATATGGACTATGAATGTTAACAGATGACAACAGTTGAGAGCCCTCTCCTACATTGTTAGTATTTTCACATTAAACTGCTCTCATATTGAAATATTCAGGTTTTCAATTATTTTTTAAAAATTATTTTAAATAATCTAATCCAAATAATTTCTTCAAAGTAACAGACAACTTTACCTTAAGAAAAGGAACTAGGTGAGGCTGAGGTGAAGACTTGAGTTCAACATACAGTTGTCTAGTAAATTCTTCTGCTTCAATTTTTGCATCCTGAGGAACAGAAGAAAGAAGAATACTTTTATGTTTACAAATATTTTAAAAGAGAAAAGGTATGTAATTCATGATTGATGTAAGGAGGTAAAAGACCTACCTGTATTCTGAAAACTAGAAGATGTTAATGAAAGAAATTGAAGAGGACACAAAAAAATGGAAACATATACCATGCTCATGGGATTGGAAAAATTAATATTGTTAACATGTTTATACTACCCAAAGCAATCTAAAGATTGAATACAATTCCTATCAAAATACCAACAGCATTTTTCATAGAACTAGAACAAATAATCCTAAAATCTGTGTGGAACCACAAAAGACCCTGAACAGCCAATTTTAAGAAAGAAAAAAGCTGGAGGTTATCACAATCCCAAATTTCAAACTATCCTACAAAACTATAGTAATCCAAACAGTATGGTATTGACACAAAAACAGACGTACAGATCAATGGAATAGAGTAGACAGCCAAGAAATAAACCTATGTGTATATGGTCAATTAATCTATGACAATGAGGTGAAAATATACAATGGGGAAAAGACAGTCTCTTCAATAGTGTTGGGAAAACTGGACAGCTACATACAAAAGAATGAAACTGGACCATTTTGTTAAACCATATACAAAAATAAATTCAAAATGGATTAAAGACCTAAATGTGAGACCTAGAACCATAAAACTCCAGAAGAAAACACAGGCAGTAAACTCTTGGACATCAGCCTTAGCAATATTTTTCTGTATATGTCTTCTCAGGCAAAGGAAATAAAAGCACAAATAAACTACTGAGACTATGTCAAACTAAAAAGCTTTTGCAGAGCAAAGGAAACCATTAACAAAACAAAAAGGCAACTTCCTGAATAGGGAGAAGATAATGTGCAAATGACATACCTGATAAGGGGTTAATATCCAAAATATATAAAGAATTCATACAACTTAATACCAAAAAAAAAAAAAAAAAAAAAAAAAAAAAAAATCATCTGATTAAAAATAGACAAGAGGACCTAAATAGACATTTTTCCAAAGAAGACTTAGGATGGCAAACAGACATATGAATAGATGGTCAATATCACTAATCATCAAGGAAATGCAAATCAAAAACACAATGAGATATTACCTCACACCAATCAAAATGGCTAATATCAAAAAAACAAGAAGTAATAAGTGTTGGCAAGGATGTGGAGAAAAGGAAACCCTTATGCACTATTGGAAGGAATGTAAATTGGTACAGTTGTTATGGAAAACAGTATGAAGATTTCTCAAAAATTTAAAAATTAAAATAACACATGATCCACTTCTGGGTATTTACCCAAAGAAAACAAAAACACTACTCTGAAAAATATATGCACCACTGTGTTTACTGCAGCACTGTTTACAATATCCAAGATATAAAAGCAACCTAAATGTCCATCATTAGACAGATGATTGGATAAAAAAGATGCGGTATATACATACAATGGAATATTACTCAGCCATAAAACAGAATGAGATCTTGCCATTCACAACATGGATGGACCTAGAGGGTATTATGCTAACTGAAGTAAGTCAGACAGGAGAAAGACAAATACTGTAAGATTTCACTTATATGTGAAATCTAAAAAATAATACAAAGAGAAACAAACTCAAATACAGAGAAGAAACTGGGGAGGAGAAAATAGGCAAAATAGCTGAAGGGACTTAGGAAGGGCAAACTTCCATTTATAAAATAAGCAAGTCAGAGGGATGGAAAGTACAGCACAGGAAATATAACGAATAATACTGCAATAACTTTCTGGTGACAGATGGTAACCACACTTACTGTGGTAAACATTCTGTAATGTATGTAATTGTCAACTCACTATGCTGCATACTTGAAAATAATATGTCAACTACATTTAAATCAAAAATTAAAAATTTAAGTTAATTTTAATTTTTAAAAATGCTTGAAAGTTAAGTTAAAAATTTGTTTGTAGGACTTACAATTTTAAGTATCTAAAATAGTTTTCCCAAGCAGAAAACTAACCGTTTCAAATGTGCTCTATTTCTAACAAATTATAGGTAGCATAAAAAAGAGTAGTAAAGGAGGTATTCTAATATTTATAAAATATACTTGTTTTCCTGTAATATTTGAAACATAAACATCTTCTGCTAGGAAAAAGTGACCATTTTTATACAAAAAATACACAAAATTCTCATTGTATGGTCAGAGAAACCTGTAGATTTTAGTAGTTCAAAAAATTCAAAATTGTATTTGTCTGTTATATCATCAGCATATTTCTTAAGCATATAATGTGTAATATTTGCTCATTTCCACTTTCATCTGCTTTAATGTATGTAAGCATTTTATCTGAAAGATATAAAAATGAATGACATATAATTTGACAGCTAAAAAATACAGCATCTTGGAACTTGTAAGTCAAACATCATCACATTTTGTTTAAATGTTTACTTATTTATTTTGAGAGAGAGAGACAGAGAGTGCACACAAGTTGGGGAGGGGCAAGAGAGAGAGAGGAGACAAAGAATCCCAAGCAGGCTCCCCACTGTTAGCTGGAGGCTAGCAGTGATGGACTGAGCCACCCAGGCACCCTAAAGGCCATCACATTTATTACTCTTCTCATTTTTTTAAAAATTTTTTTTTTTCAACGTTTTTATTTATTTATGGGACAGACAGAGACAGAGCATGAACGGGGGAGGAGCAGAGACAGAGGGAGACACAGAATCGGAAACAGGCTCCAGGCTCCGAGCCATCATGAGAGCCAGCCAGGGGCTGTGCCTCACCGGACCTTGGTCAGTGACCTGGCTGAGTCGGACGACAACGACTTCTAAGCCACCCAGAGCCCTACTCTTCTCATTTTAAGAGAAGGAAAGGCAGACTTAAGAAGATTAACTTACTTCCATGGGTTACAAAGTTTGTTGTTTGAACTTACAGACTGGCTTTCTGACATTTGCAATTCTAGTAACAATTTTTTACTTGGCTAAATCGTCAACCTTCTCTCCAAGGTCTTTTTTTAGGTTAAGGCATACAGAAAATAATATACAATAGATTTACTTGTCCTAGATTTATTATCATTATAAAGCTCTTAAAAAGCAAAAGCAGAAGCACCTGGCGGGTTCAGTTCATTAAACATCTGGCTCTTGACTTTGGCTCAGGTCATGATCTCACAGTTCATGGGTTCGAGTCCCACCTTGAGCTCTGTGGTCTGCTTGAGATTCTCTCCCTCTCTGTCCCTAACCCCTGCGTGCTTTCTTTCTCCCAAAATAAACTTAAAAAAAAAAAACAAAAAAACAAAAAACAAACCATAGCTTGTCAAAAAAATCCATCTAACATAAACCTCACTTAAAGATACATCCCATTTAAAACATGTTCTAAGAATTCTCACAGAATTTTCACGTTTTCATACTAACTTACCAAAAGTTGTTCCACCAGTTTCTTCACATTCTGCCCCATTTCTGGGGACTGTGATCCACTACACGCTAGTTTTATTAACATGGCAAGGAAGTTCTTACACTTCTTCACATTTTCTAGCATCGCCTAAGTAAAGAAATATACATAAAACACAAATGTTAGCTAAAAACAGAATTCAAGAAAATCTGTAAAGAGCTGTACTCACATAAGGTGGAAGTGAGAGCTTACCGGAGAAAGATTTGCCTGAGCAGCTGCTGAGTTCTCTGCTTTGAGACTGGGATCATTTGAGAGGGCAGGTGATGCTCCCAAATTTGAAGGCTTCAGGGTAGTTACAGAATTCAAGGGCTTTCCAGGAGTAACTGTGACAACACTGGCTGTTGGCACAGCCACAGACTGAAATTAAGAGTAGTGTATACTTAGATACATTTACTATAATATATATATCACAGCTGGTGCCTCATTTCACACTTATGAGACTACAAATGGATCTTGACATCTTTGCTTTCATGTTATGTTCTACTAGTGTAAGGCAATGGCACACTGCTGTAAGAGCTCTGGACTTTAACAGATCTGGGTTTCATTCTCATCTACCTACCTACTTTTCATTGACATCTACTGAGTGTTGTCCTCAAGCAAGTAATCCCTTGACTCCTGTCTATAAAAAAATAGACACCTACCTACTCTCCTAGGGTTGTTTGTGAAAAATAGTACCAAGCATATGGTCCTCAAAAAACATTATTAATACTTCTCTAAAAAGAATTTGAAATAGTCTTTATATGAAAATATAGGATTTCCTATTCTATTATTTTCTGCTTAAGTATAGAGAGATCTATTGATTATCTTGTATTCAGATAAGCTACTTTTATTAGACTATTAAACATAATAAATATTACAAACTGTGATATCTTACTTTCACAGTGAAAAGAATTTTGGTTATTCTACCCTCTATTGAAATGAGGTGTGATTCTAGCGCCACCTGCAGGATAAAAAGTTTAATACAAGAAATCACAAGTCAGGCAGTTAAAAACTTAGACAACTATATTGAGATAAAGCAACAATCTTATTTTAAAACAAACACTGAAAGTAACAGAACAGGAGTCAAGTTTAGGGGGATCAGAAGACAAGAGTATTTATAATTCATGCAGAAAACTGAACAATGCACCATCACTTTAGTTGAAATACTTGTATACTAAGGCATACAACACAAAAAGTTCAGGTTGCAATCTCCTTCAAGAAAATTCCTTTGGTAACAGTCCCAATAAGTGAATTAAAATGTACACCAAAATTTCCCACTTTAGAAAGACTGGAGCATATATTAGACAAGCATATATTAGAAAAGACAAGGGTAAAAAAATGGGAAAGAAATTAAAAACCCCGATTAATGATGAAGACTAGAATGATGAAATGTTAAAAAAAGTTAAATTAAAAATTGCAGCTAAATCTTCAACTTTTATATACCCCTTTGTAAAAAGAGTGCAGATAAAATCTCATTTGCTGAAAATTAGACAGATAAAGTGTTTATTATTCTTACTGATATTGTAATTCTCAAGGGTTAAAATTTCAAATTGCCCCATCCAAAGCAATAAAGAATAATGCTTAAGAACATAGAGGCTGGAAGAATGAAATCCTGCCATTCTCAATGATGTGAATGCAGCTAGAGAGGATGGATGCTAAGTGAAATAAGTCAGTCAGAGAAAGACAGATACCACTAGATTTCACTCATATGTGGATTTAAGAAACAAAATAGGTGAGCTTATGGGAAGGGAAAAAAAAAGAGAGAGGGAAGCAAACCACAAGAGACTCAGTGGTAGAGAACAAACCGAGAGTTGTTGGAGGGGAGGTGGGTGGGGGGATGAGCTAAATGGGTAATGGGTATTAAGGAGGGCACTTGTTGTATTGAGCACTGGGTGTTATATGTAAGTGATGAATCACTAAATTCTACTAAAACAGATATTACACTGTGTGTTAACTAACTAGAATTTAAATAAAAATTTGGAGGAAAAAATTGCAGCTACGTTAGTAAAATTTTATTAAATATAAGCAGATCTCAAAGGCAACAATAAAAATGAATCCCCCTCCTATTCCTAGCCTTAGTCTTGCTCTTCAAGGACAACTACCGTGCAGTTTCTCTGAATCTTTTTGGAGACTGTCTAAAAACTTTTCCAGGTCAATATACAATAATGAAATACTCTTCCTTCAGCTGACTCTATATTCAGTTGAGTCTAGATTTATACTCTGCCCTTAATTCCTTATACTACTTGATTTAAGAACATATAATCTAAAACTTTAGCTGGTAATTATGATTACTTTCCAGGACCAATGGGAAGTGTTCATTGGGGAACCTCAGGGTTCCTCTCCCTCATGAAGCAAAATAAGGCTCAATGAAATGTGAGCTCAGAAAAAGCATACTATTTTTTGTGAACAGATGAAGGATTTATGGCATTTCCACTTTCCTTGTCAATGTTTAATGGTCTCTAGTACAAAATCTGTCTTTCATAATTCTTTCTAATATAGTTACTAGCTGTACCTTACCAGATATCTGCACCTTCCATGCCAATTCTAACTCTTAAAAGGCATAGAGAGGTACACAATCCCAGTCTTACTCTATCTACACAATCCCACTGCAGTAATGGATGGACCATATCAAACTCAATCATAACTTCTGATATTCTAGACCAGCCCATGGTATTTCCATGCTTTGCAAGACTGCACTGGCACTGATTATGATTGTCTGGGGGGGGGGGGGGGGGGCATGACCCTGGCCTTTGTAACATCCTAGTAAAGTATTAGAACAGCCTGCAGAAGGCACAGGTGAAGTGCAAACTCAGAGGCAATACTCAATGATGATCGAATTCCATCCCCCAAGACTAAGTGTACTAACTGTATCAAGAAATCCTTTATGGTACTATGTCTCCAATAGGACAAATACATGAAAATCAAGGAATCAAGGAGTAAAGGGATGAATGGAACCACTTATGACTCCCAAAGACATGCTGGGGGACCATGTGCTTCCCATTTTTGCCCACAGGGGGCACACTTTCACCAGAGGACACAACAAGAGTTCCCATAAACTAGACACCATGCCTGCCTCCTGGGCACCTCAGGTTCCTTACGTCCAGGGAACATCAGTAAAGAGCTTATCATGACAAGGGTAAGTGACCTGACATCTGGAATAGGTAGGGTTGCTATCTTACAATGCAGACTGAGAGGAGTATGTGTGGTGAATCCAAGGGATTACTTAAGTGCCTGTTGGTATTTCCTTGCCCAATTGTAATGATAAATGGACAAGTACAGCAACTCTTGCCTCAAAACAGCATAGTGATTAAGACCTCAGATCCCTCAGGGATGAAAATCTGGTCCCACTACCAGTTAAGTTATCAAGACCAGTAGAGTTATTAGTTGAGAATGAAGGGAATCTAGAATGGATAGGATAGTAAAGGAGGGAGATGATGAGTATCAGCCACAGCAGTGAGGACTATAGTTCATCCTATAACCTCCTCTTCTTTGTTTCCCCAAGGAAGAAACCCAATGGAATTCCAAAAGATCTGGTCTCTAACAATGTATAAGGAAGTAGATACCAGTGATACAAGGAGTAAACTTTGCAATACCATCACAATGACATCTGTGTTGTCCCAGCTGTTGGGAATGCTATTACATAGGCTACAGCTGTCAGTTCTTTCAGGGTTTGCCTCAACTACAGAGAATTATCTTGCCCAATAGCACAACTCTCCCTGTGGAACTGACATCCAATGACTGATCACAGAGTGGGAATTAAGGCCCAGCTGACCAAAGCTGGCAGATAGTAGGACAACTCTGACAAGCCACATTTGCTCCAATGTTCCCCACCTGATTGGTGGAGTCTTTACTGGGCCTACATCTAGTTCAAAGTCTTATTCTCCTTCCCTTCCACAAGTATCAATAACTAATAAGTATCCCCTACACCAAAGGGGATGTCCTAGCTCCTGCTTCTAAACACTATCACACATGGCTATTGGGTGCATTTGTATTAATTTAATACATTCAAGTAAAATTAATATTCCAAGAGCACACACCATGTTTATCCTGTGTTTCTACACTTCCAACCGTTCCCACCCACTTTGGCATCACCAAATATCACTGAATTGCTCAAGGTTACACGGTTGTTGTGACAACCTACATATCTAGCAGGAAACAACTAAATAAAGATGAGAGAATAAGCAGTGCACACATGGTCACAAGTCAGTCACAACTTACCTGTACTGAGGAAGGCTTTGGAATCGTGGTTACCACAGTAGTTCCTATTTGTGCCAACTTTTTAACAGGTGCCACTGCCACTTTCTTAACTAACTGTGAACCAGAATTCTAAGGGGGTGAGAGGGGGAGGGGAGAGAGATAACAGAATCATCAGCATTAGTAATTTTAAATCAATCAGTACTATGGTGAACATTAAACATTAAACCACTTCAGAGTGCCTGGATGGCTCAGTCAGTTAAATGTCCAACTTTGGCTCAGGTCGTGATCTCACGGTTCAGGAGTTTCAGCCCCACGTCGGGCTCTGTGCTGACAGCTCAGAGCCTGCTTTGGATCTTCTGCCCTGTGTCTCTGGCTCTCCCCCACTTGTGCGCACACATGCTCTCTCTCTCTCAAATAAATAAATATTAAAAAAAAATTAAAACACTTCACCACAGCAAACTCCGTTGTTATAACTGGCTTTATATAGCCTTATAGGTTTTAAGCATATTCTCCCACTCGCAGAGACCTAGCTTGGTCAGCTAGCTGTGACACTACTTCATACTCCTTAAGGAGGCAACTGATTTAGCAATATCAGTTTTTTTAAATCTTAAACTTTACTCTTTGGCTCATACAGAAAACATATAGTTGCTTTTTTTGTTTTTTTTTTTAAGAGAGAACACAAGTTGGGAAGGGGCAGAAAGAATCTTTTTTTTTTTTTTTAATTTATTTTGAGAGACAGACAGAGGAGGGAGACAAAGAGAGAAACAGAACCTAAAAAAAGCAGGCTCAGGCTCTCTGAACTGTCAGCACAAGAACTGATCGCGGACTCAGCTCACAAACAAGGCATCATGACTGAGGCAGTGGGACTTGGACATGCTGGGTGCCCCAAAGAAAAGAACATAAGCAGCCTCCACGCCCAGTGGGGAGCCTAGCACTGGGCTCTGGGCTCAATTTCATGACCCTGAGATCAATTTCCTGACCTGCGCCGGAACTGAGAGTTGGATGCTTAACCAACAGAGCAGGCCACTCAGGCATGAAAACACATGGATTCTTATTTAACATTATTAAAATAGTCTGCTAATCTATCTTCTCAACTCACAGCAGTTAGATAAAGCAAACTAGAAAAGAAAGGAGCAGGGGGGGCACCTAGGTGGATCAGTAGGTTAAGCATCTGACTTCTGCTCAGGTTATGATCTCACAGTTTGTGAATTCAAGGCCCACGTTGGGCTCTGTGCTGACAGATTGGAGCCTGGAGCCTGGACATTTCTCCCTCTCTCCTGCCCTTTCCCCACTTGTGCTCTGTCTCTTTCTCAAAAAAAAAAAAGAACAAAAAGGAAAGGAAAGGAAAGGAAGAAGGAAGGAAGGAAGGAAGAAAAGAAAAGAAAAGAAAAGAAAAGAAAAGAAAAGAAAAGAAAACAAAACAGGGAAGGAGCAGCTATCATTGAAAGATACAGTAACATAGAAAATGAGAACCTAGAATCAAATATTAGAGGAGAGCACAAAATGGGGGGTGAGGGTGGCAGACAGACTGCCAGAGGATATTACCACAGAACACTATGCGATCTTTCATTAGGATGAACCTGACTCATCAAGAAAATGCTATACTACATTCAGCATTTTTTATTTTACCAGAGAAAGATGCTATGATACATATATATATATATATATATATTTATTTTTTTTTTTTACCTCTGCCACACAAGATAAGCTTCAGTTAGTTACCTAAAAAGATTACCATGTATGTAAAATAAACCATTTTCTAACAACGCTAAATTAATGAACTATTTCGGACTTCTTAAAAAGTCATTCCTATAAGATACAGATACAAATGAATAGTATAAAACTGTACTGTTAATGTCTTACCACAAATTAAAATTGAAGCATATTTTCTTTCCATTTAGACATGCAAAAAGCCCTTTTAACATTCCCCTGAGAAATAAAAATCTTTGAGTATGAAGACTGAATCTTTATTATTTTAGCAATTACCAAGTGACAAAACCAAACATTTTGATTAACACAAAGAAAGTGGCTCAATTCAAAAAGTTGAGCAGAATCATCTATTATTTTTATTCACAAATACACATATATTTACATGAAGATACCAGCTAGAAAACCAAGAATAAAAAAAAAAAAAAAAAACCCTAAGGTATATTACCGGCACTGTACAGATTTTGACCGTATGAGTATTCGTTGGTATAGCTGGCCTTGAAGTTATGTTAGTAGTGGTCTCTGCTCTTGTCACAGCTTGCTGAGGAGATACCAACATCAACTGGCCACTGTTACTTTTGATTAAAACTGTTCCTAGAATTAAAAGAAAAAAACCATGACCTCTAAGCTAATAAATAAAACATAAGCATCATATATTTTGTGTTCTGACCATTTCTTTCGATATTGTAAAATGTCTGAACAAATGATTAGTACACACTAAATTCTATGTACACTAATTACCATAAATAATATGGAAAAATGTTTTCACTCAAAGCTACTTAAAATATTACAAGTCCAAGCCTATGGCCCATACTCTTGAAGAAGCCAAAACACTTTTTCTTCATGACTTCAAACTGTAAAACTACAGTAAGTAAGATGATATGGTAATGGCACCAGACTACACAAAGTGACCGATGGAATAAATTAGAGAATTCCAAAATAGGCTCAGGCAGATATGTCATATCAAATTTTCCTAAGAGGCACCGCAGATTAGTGAGGAAAAGAGCAGACCACTCAATAAGCAAGGTTGGGTCAATTAGTTATTTACATGGAAAAGATTAAAAGTGTCATACCACACACAAAACCCCTAGGGCATTAAGAATACAAAGGCAAAAAGTAAAACCTTTGAAACTCTTAGATAATATACAAAATTATCTTTCTGAACTTGGGATAGGAAGACTTTCTTAAATAAATTTGACACATTCTACTATACCAAAAAAAACTTTTGTTTACCAAAAGACACTACCAAGCAAAAAAACAAACTACCAAATGGAAAAAAAAAATTTTAGTTCACTTATGTTTGAAGAATGAATATCAAAAATGAACAAAACACAGATGCCAATGACAGGGAAAGGTAAATTAAGACCACAGTGAGAGATCACTTTATATCTACCTAGATGGGCAAAAATTAAGAAGTCCAAAGACAACATTAAGTGTTAGATGTGCAGCAACAAGAACTCTAACATCCTGATGATGTTAATGTAACATGGTAGAATTGCTTTGTTCAACTTTACATGATTGTGCCAAACTGATTCCCATTTGTACTCTCTAACCCAGTAGTATTTCTAATCTAAAGAAATTCTTGTCCATGTCAGTAGGAGGCATAAACGAGAATATTCACAGCTGATGTTCCATTTCTGGAATGGGAGCATCAAGAGCTCAACAAACCTGCCCCCTAGCAAAGCAAGCATAACTGGTGAAAATTATTTTTAAAAACATCATTTAGAGTCTTTGGAAATTGCCTGAAGGCATACAGAAAATGACTACACCATTATTAAAGAGGATTTACTAAAACTCAGTAAGAACAGCAAGAATCTGTGGCATCTGAACCATGACCTGCTCCCTTTTCCTTCTCACATCAGGCAGTGTGGTCAACACAGGGCCTCTTCCTCTCCCAAGCTCCCAGTTGAGGCTATGGTATCTTCCTGGAAGGAGCAGGCCACCAGCATTTCTGATCTCCCCCACAATGAGCTGCATACAACAGAGGACAAATTTGAGATAAGTGTATCCAAAAGTTTCCAGGCTTCTTCTTTTACTCATCTCTACTCATAAAAGGAAGGCTCTACACCTCAGGGATGGAACACTAAAAATATCTGGACCCCAGTGTCCTTCACCCTAGTTATTTTGTAGGAGTTATTCCATGCTGGGAGAGGTAAGCAGGTAAGATCAAAGGCTACCACCCATGCCTAGTACCCCACTCCTAAAGCAGGGATATTGCCCAGAGAGAAGTATGCCACAGTCCTGGTCCCCACTCCAAATATCTCCCCAGAGAAGCTGACTTTATTTCAACACAGCATGGGCAAACTCAACGGTAAGAGCACTCTCAAATACAATAAACAATTAAAAGAAGGATGGTAGCTTCATGACCCATACAAGATAGGCAACAGGCCTAGCTCTAGTTTACCAGAGAGAACCAGATAAAGAGATAACTAAGAAGGGTCTTCCTGATGTCAGAACAAACGTGTAACAATAAACCTAAAAAAATTAACCAGTAAAGGAGCCTAAATTTAATTGGATCAGACTGTGGAGCAAGCTAGGCTCTGGGGCATTGTTGAAAAAAATAGGGCAATTGGTTGGCAACCAATAGACCTTAATAGCTAGGTATGGTTATCAACAGAGAGGCACAGCTAAATAGGATTCAGAGAAAGTCAGAGAGAGCCCTGCTACAACCAAGGCTGTGCCCTCTGAGGTGCAACATCAGAGGCTTCCCATTGTAGGGAAAATAGGTTTCACTAAAATAATCTAGCCAAACAATAATACACTCAAGGGAATAGGGGACAGTACCCAGAGTTGCTACAATATATTACTTTTGAATAGCAAATTACAGTACATGCAAAGAAAAAGAAAAGTGTGACACACAGGAAAAAAAGGCAAAGCAACAGAAACCACCCACGAGAGAGACTAGATGTTAGATCTAACAACAGAAACTTCAAAGTAAACATTATATATTTGTTCAAAAGACAAAAGGAAACCATCTTAAAAAAGCAAAGGAAGGGGGCGCCTGGGTGGCGCAGTCGGTTGGGCGTCCGACTTCAGCCAGGTCACAATCTCGCGGTCCGTGAGTTCGAGCCCCGCGTCAGGCTCTGGGCTGATGGCTCGGAGCCTGGAGCCTGTTTCCGATTCTGTGTCTCCCTCTCTCTCTGCCCCTCCCCCGTTCATGCTCTGTCTCTCTCTGTCCCAAAAATTAAAAAAAATAAAAAATAAAAAAAGTTGGAAAAAAAAAAGAAGCAAAGGAAGGTATGATGAGATCACCAAATAGAGACTATCCTTAGAGAGATAGGTACCATAAAAAATAACTTCTGTAGTTAAAAAACACAATAACAAAAAATTCACTAGAGGGGTTTGACAGTGAAACTGAGTAAGTAGAAGAAAGATCAGTGAACTTGAAGATAGATCAACAGATTATTAAATCCAAAGAAAGAAGAGGAAAAAAGAATAAAGAAAAATGAACAGAGCCTCAGAGAAATGTGGAACACTGATAGGCACCACAACATGGGCATAATATGAGTACCAGAGAGGAAGAACAAGAGAAACATAAAGAGAGAGAGGTAAAGAAACAGAAAAACATTCAAAGAAATAGTGGCTGAGTGAGCCACCCAGGAGCCCAGACATTTTTGCCTTTTGATTGAATTATTTAGACCATTCACATTTCATGATATATAGTTGGGTTTAGGTGTGCCATTTATTTTTGTTTCTGTATATTTCCTCTCCTTTTTGTTTCTATCTTTTTTTCCCCTGATTTCATCTGCATTAAGTGAATATTTTCTAGTGTAACACTTAAATTTCTTTATAATTTTTCAATACATATATTTAGAGGTTCTATAGGCTACAATAGAGTTTGCAATATATATCGTATTAGAATTTATTTCATGTCTGTATTAACTTATTTGGGTGAGATATAGAAACATTTCTCCTATTTAGCTCATTTTCCTCTCACTTTTATTTTTGTGCTATTATTGTTCTATATATTGTATCTAGATATATTAGAAACCCAACAATACCTTGTTATTATCACATAATGTAACTGTATGGTTTTTAAAGAAACTGACAGAAGAAAGGAGCAAAGGATGTATTTGTAGCATTTGTTTCATTACTTTTGCATTCTCCATTTCTGGTTTTCTTCATTTGTTCCTATGGATTTGAGATTTCATCTAAGGTAATTTCCTTAGTGCAATACAACTTTACTCCTACTCACTTTCTGTTGTTATTCACAAATATATTATTTTAATGGTATAGGCCCAACAATATATACATACTGTTCTATACAACTGGTTTTTAAACAATTTTTTAAATTAAGAGAAGAAAGCAGAATTAACATACATTTATATTGTCATGATTTCGGCTCAAGTCATGACCTCATGGTTCGTGAGTTCAAGTCCCATATCAGGCTCTGCACGGATAGTGGAATTCTTGGAATTCTCTCAATCTCTCTCTCTCTCTCTCTCTCTCTGCTCCTCCCCTGCTCATACTCTCTTTCTCAAAATAAATAAACTTAAGAAAAAAAAAAGATATACAACAGCAACCATAAGAAAACTAGAGTGGTCAGACCAATATTAGACAAAATAGACTAAGTATGTTACTAGAGATAAAGAGGGGCATTTTATAACTGATGTAACACCCAATGGGTCAGGAATATTAATATGTACCCAAAAACAAAGCCCAAAATATACAAAGCAAAAGCTGACGTAAGTGAAGTGAAAAACAGAAATTCAATGATAATAGTTGAGAGATTTCAATACCCCACTTTCCACATCAGATAGACAACTATATAGAAATCAACAAGGAAATCAAACACTTGGTCAATACTACAAACCAACCAACCAAACACATCCATAGAATACTCCACCCAACAACAGCATTCTCCATAAGTGCACATGGAACATTCTCAATGTTAGGACATAAAATAAGCTCCAATAAATTTAAAAAGACTAAAATCATACAATGTATAGTCTCCAACTACAATGGAATGAAATTTGAAATCAGTAACAAAAAGAAATTGAGGGAATTCACAAATATTTAGAAATTAATTACTTCTAAGTAATCAGTTGGTCAATGAAGAAATCACAAGGGAAATTGGAAAATACTTTGAAAGGAGTAAAAATGAAGACATAATATACCAAAATTTATAGAATGCAGCTAAAGCAGGGTTTAGTGGGACATTTATAGTTATAAATGATGGTATTTAAAAAGAAAAAAGATTCAAATCAATAACTTAAACTTCCATCTTAAGATACAGGGTTGGGGGGGCAGCAAAATAAAAACTAAAGCAAGCAGATGAAAAGAAAACAATGAAGATTAAAGCAGAATTAAATAGAGTATAAAAACAAAGGAGAAAAAGAAAAGCAAAAGTTAGTTCTGGGAAAAGACCAACAAAACTGAAAAACCTTTACCAGACTGCTCAAACTACTAAAACCAAGAATGGAAAAAAAAAAAAAAAAAAAAAAAAAAAAAAAAAAAAAGAGGATATTACTATTAGTCTTATAGAAAGATGGATAAAGGAATACTGTAAGCAACTGTAAATCCATAAATTAGATGACATACATGAAATAGGCAAATTCCTAAAAACAAAAACTACTATAACTGACTTAAGAAAA